AACCTTCATCACCATCACTTTCTAGAGACCCTCTTTGCCTCGTCTTCCCAGTTGAATGCTGTTTCTGATACCCCATATGTTTCTTCTCCTTGCTTTATTCTCTTGTTTTAAGAGTGTACATATCCAAGAGCTTCTGGAGGAAAGGGGCAGGGGATATATATTTGGACACTTTTCACATCTGAATATCTGTTCCACTTACAATTACATAGTTACTGGATATAAACTTCTTATATGGAAGTAATTTCCCCTTAGGATTTAGAAGTTCTGCCTTTTAGCTTCTAATGTTGCTATTCAAATATCTGATGCTATTCTTATTTTTTAAAAATTAAACATTTTCTTTAATTTAAAACATATAAATATTCATTCATTGACTGCTATTTTAACTATAAAGTCAAGATTATTTCTTTGAATATGAATCCCAGATTGAATTTTTTTGTACTCTCACATGAAAAACACCTATAATGTGTCGTCTATGATTTGTTTCCTTTTCTTTAAAGTGGAGTGGATTCTAGATTTTTCATTTATTGATGTGCCCCTTCCAACTTTGACATCCTTTTAAGTTGTTCTTTTTATTCCTCACTGCTTACCTAGTGTTGTGCTATTCTGATAGCATCACCAATAATTATACTTATGTTTATTATTATTAATTTTTTATATATTTTTTGCTTCTATTATTTGTCTTAGGTTGAATTATTCAGAGGTAGAATATGAGGTGAGGATTCAAGTGAAAGCAATTTATTAGGAAGCGTTCCCAAGAAAAACTGCTAGGAAAATGAGAAAGTGGGCCTGGAAAGGAAGAAGTTCACGCATAAGTGTAATATCAAGGATAATGCCCTGAGGAAGTTTTGGAGACAGTGCAGAGCACATCTTAGAATTATTTGGGTCACTAGCAGCAAGCCAGGTTGTTTACACCCTGTGCATTTTAGTCATTGGTTAATGATTGCCCAGGAGGGTGTAAGTTCCCAGACTTTCAGGGGTCTGTGGCAGGGTGGGTTTCAGCAGCTGGAGGTACATCTCTATGGAAAGCCATGAGTGCTGGTGTTGGACTGAAAGCGTAGCAGGTACTGGTATTCATGATGATGGTTAAACATGAGGATATATGAGCAGACTACTGACTGGATTTGCTACATTATTTTATAAGAATTAGCTAATAAGAACTAGAGGTCTTGTGAACCCAGTACAGCTCACACAAAGATGAGATGATAGTCACTAAGAATGCTGAAAGCAAGATTACTTTGGTCTCAATCAGGCACTCATTGCCCTTAAAATCACTTGGCTCCTATTTTTGATTATGGAGGAATAAAACAAACTAAGAGATGTTTGTAAGTGCTGGATATATTATCAAAATTATCTAAAAAGTAAGTGTGATTGATTCTGGAACTCCAGTATTTTTAACTTTTCAGGAAATGAATCCTTATTATAACACCTAAAATTATTACTGGACAATCACATATTCTTGTATCACACATGCTTTTAAGACCACCTTATTAATGTTTTAAAAAAGTTTTTGTTGAGGACTTACCTTGTGCTAGGCACTATTTTTTTATTGGAGTTAAAACTTTGAGCAGGATAAAGAAGGTCTCTACTCTGATGGAACATAAATTCTAGTGGGATGAGACCATGAATAAATAACGAGTAAACAGAAATATCTGCTAGTGATAAGTACTATAAAGAAAGTGAAATGGAATGAAGTGATATAGATTATGTTGAAGGTGGACCCCTCCAGCACTGAAGAGTTAATGTATAATCCAAGGCAGGAATTATAAGAAAGAGCCAAGTATGGGAAAACCTGAGGAAGAATTACTCCAGGGACAGGGAATCTGGTGCAAAGAGGAGTGACGCTGGTGTGTTAGAAAATCGGAAAGAAGTTAATATATTTGGAATGTCGGAGCAAAAAGAAAAGATGAGATTCAAAGTTATTCAGGGCCAAATAATGAAAATCCTTGTAGGCCATGGGAAAAAATTTTGTGTTTCTTTCACTTTAAGAGTCATGGGAAACCATGAGAATTTAAACAGTGTAGTGACATGATCTTTATATGTTTGAAGGTTTCTCTGAAAGTATGTGTGGAAAATGCAGGCGAGAGTAGAGAAAGGGAAACTTTCTAGGAGGGCATTTCTTTATACTGAGACATCATATTGAAGTCAAAGAGAAATAGGCAGATTCTGAAAATTACTTGGAGGTAGAATTGACAGGTTATATTGATGGAGAATAGATAAGGGACTGAGGAAAGGTAAATGCTCTGATTCCTAGGTTTTTGTCAGGAGAGACTGGTTGGATGGTTGGACCATTTTCTGATCTTTTCTTATGCCTATAATTATCAATTATCAATTGATCAATTATCAAGTACAATTGATTTTAAGCAGCATTCCCTTTCTCTTCATTGTGTCTAGAGATTAACTATAGGTAAATGCACACTGTTCATTCAGACCTTTGTGCTTTGTGACTGATGATTTTTGGCCTTTTCCTGGTTTATTTATTTATTTTTGGTTAAAACAATGTTTTGACATACAGGAGAAGCAAGAAAAAAGTCTGCTAACATTATGCCATCTGCTCCTTTTTAATTTCTTTCAAGGAAATTCTCCAAGGGAATGTCTTTTCTCATTGATGCCCATTTTATTGTCAGAGACCATTACATCCCAGGTTTTCACACCAACCTGTCCTGTGGCCATCAGAACTGGCTCACTGGAGACATCTTTTTCCATCATGGAGAACGCTTAGCTGTGCATCCTGCCAGACTTCTAGGAAGGAGATGCTTTTCTTCCCTCTTCTGCTGAATTCAGGCTGAATTCTTAAATTCTGGTTTGTGACACCATTGTATTATATTGTATTTGTAACTCAGTAGATTCATTATCTATTTCTGATTTTAAAAATTGCATAAGAAACATTCCAAATTTTCTGGTTAATTGAAGTCATCTCTTGTCTTTGAGTACTAGACCCTGATCTCAGAAGCATGTCCACCTGTTTACAATCATGACTGGAAAAGGCATGAGTAGGGGGAAATGGATATTGTACACCATTGTTACTGAATGCATTTCAGCAGCCATGTGAATTAGAGTAGCTCTTGATAAAAAGCCTGAAGGAAATTATAATTTTACACTAAGTGAAATAATTCTTTAGAAACAAAAATACCAATACAATTTTAAAATATAATTCACTTCTCTAGAAATAAATATTTTTCAGAATATTGGTTCTTATTAAAATGTGATGCAAAAATATGTGAGAAAAGGTTCACAAAAATTGAATTGGCTTATAAAAGTTTTTAAAAATCATTTCTTCTGATTATAAAAATATGTCTACTGTAGAAAATTGAAAAAGTAAACAAAGTCATAAAGGAGAAAATAAAAACTTGTAATCCCACTGCTAGAAGAAAACTGTGCTCACCATTATTGGATAATTCTTTGATCTTTTCTCTCTATAGATACATATATACATACATTTAGATAAAATATATGAATAATATTTTAAACTATGTAGAGATTTTAATAATATGAGCTCATACTGTTTGTACTATTTTATACCACTTTTCCCTACTATTATAAGTACACTGGAAAATTTAATGACTGCATTATGTTTTATATATCATAGTATATTTGGCCCATTTCCCCATTTGGGGACATTTAAGTTGTTTCCATTATTTTTAGAAACTCAGATTGTTCTTCCATAATAAATAATATTAAAATGAATAGTTTTATAAATGCATTTTAACAGGTTTTATATTTCCTTTTCATAAATTCCTGAAATAGAGTGATTTGGTTAAAATGTATGAACATGTAAAGTTTCTTTTTATATATTAGCAAATAACTTACTATATGCATAAAAGTATGATATGCCTCATTTATTTTTGCCAACTTGATTTTTTAAAAATGTAATTTCCTTGTTTCATTTTGCCTTACTTTCATTATTGGTAAGGTTAAACATTTACTCATACATTTATTTACCATTCATATTTATTCTATGAGGTGACCATGTGTTTAACACGTTTCTTATTAGTGTTTTTCTTGGAGTATTTATATTTTAATGATTGATTTGTAAGGTAGGCATACCTTTCTCATATTTGTTTTTAAGTATGTTTTCTAATTGGACTTTGCTTAAATTTTTTTCCAAAACATTCTTGATATAGAGAAGTTTTAAGGTTATAAAATTAAACCTATTTGCCATTTTTTTGGTAATTTTATCCCATATTTTAGTGCTTTAAAGCATTGAGCTGTGGAAAATATTTGTCTTCTATAGCTTTACTTAAAATTTTAATCAATATAGAATTCATTTGATTTACGGTTTTGGATATGTTAAAATATAATTTTCTTTATTTTATTTTTATTAAACTTCCCTACCTTCATTTGTTGAATAATTTGATCCTTTGTAAAATTTCCTTTACAAAATTGTTTTTGTTATTATTAGTATTACTATGTGTTAGTGCATACCAAGTTCATATATACCCCAGGAAGTTTCAGTCTCTCAGTTGTGTTATTCTGTCAATTCTTGTATATGACCACATTGTTAAATTGTTTCAATATGTATATATACATACCCAAGTCATTTTTTGATATGTTTAGTCATTTTTTGTTTTAGTCTACCAGACAAAATAGTTCTGAGACCATATATATTTCTTCTCTCACTGGAATTTCATTAGATTATACTGGTAATCTGTGTCTCAGAAGTCTGCCTGCTCATACATATCTGCCACCCCAAAATATACAATATTTTTTCATTCTTTCAAAATTATTTTTATGATTCCCCATAAAATTATTATATTTCATATAATGTATCCCATCATGTTGTGATATATCTATGTCAAATATTTTAGGTTATTTATGATTTTTCAGCTATTTAGACGTTTTCTTGTTTAACTAGCTTTGCATATACATAGCTATATTTAGTAGGGATTTTCCAGAGAACAGAACCAATAGGATATATATATATACACACAGACACACACACACACACACACACACACACACACACACACACACACACGATTTGTTATAAAGAATTGGCTCACATGTGTATAGCGGCTGAGAAGTCCCACAATTTGCTCTCTTGCGCAAGCTGGAGACCGAGGAAAGCCAGTGGTGTAGTTTAAAAGCCTAAGAACTGATGAGCTGTTGGTGGGGATTCCAATTCTAGTCTGAAGGCCTGAAAACAAGGAGTGTGGAGGGCAGCAGAAGATTGATATTTTCAGCTCAAGCAGTCAGAGTGAACTGAACCTCTTCTCCGTTTTTATTCTATTCAAGTCCTCAAGCGATTGGATGCTGCCCACCCACGTTAGGGAGGACCATCTGCTTTTCTCAGTTCACTAATTCAAATGCCAATCTTTTCTGGAAAGATTCTCATAGAGATACTCAGAAATAATGTCTAACCTGTGGCCCAGTCTAGTTGGCACATAAAATTAACCATCATAATAGCATAAACATTAATTATTTTAAACTTTTTCCTGTCTTATTAATTTAAATATATAACTTTTTTACTTGTTTTTCAGGCTCAAAAATTACCCCAACATATTGATAATGTTATCTTCTCATTTCTAATACTTTTTTCTGTTTCATGTCTGATACTATTGGCTAAAATTTCTAGAAAGTTATAATAACAACTAGAAATGTGTTTTTGTTTTGGTTCAGAATTTATTAGAAATCTATCTCTTGTTTTTTCTTTTGATATTCTGTGGCCCTAATATTATTTAACATATAAATTATTCTATTTTTATTTTCCCAGGAAGTACATTTAAAATCAAGTATGCATATTAAAATTTATTAAATGCCTTTTTAGTTTCTGTTGAATCTGTCACTTTTTCTTGGACCTGTTACTATGCAACATTTGCTAGGTAGATTTCTGAATGTTAAACCATCCTTGTATTATTGGGATATTCCTTACCTGGTCATAGTAGCTGAAGCTTTTAATGTATTAATGAATTTACAATACTTACATTTTACGGCACATAAATTCATCTGTAACTGGAATTTTAGATGGGTATATGGAATGCTTGGGAAATAGATTTCAAGCCAACTACAGTCCGTCAGTGGTAATAATTCTCAATATGTTGCGAATTACTGCAAAGTTGCAGGATCAGTCCCACATGCTCTAGGTAATGTTGGAATGGGCTAAGTAGACACAGAACGTCCTGTAGATTGAGATCTGTATTTGCATGCTTGTATCTTTCATGTCTGCCTCCTCATGCTCCTGCCCTTGTTCTTTAATGCTATTTTGAGCAAATGTTGATGTTGGGAGTGGAGTTATGCTTCATTAAATTAATTAGTTAAGTTTTTATATACTGTCAAATTTTGTAGCATGGTCTTTAAAACTCTGAGAGGTTTTCAGTAAACTTGTTTTCTGGGGTGATTTTTGAAAGTAACTTTTAATAGTAAGTTTTGATAATTATTTTACTGTATTTGTTTATTCAATTTAGTTAATTTTGGCTTTCAATGATTTGCAATTATCTAGATTTTCTAGAAAAATACATAGTGTTTTCTGAGGTAATTTTCCCCTTATTACGTCAAAATAACTTTCATATATACACTTTTCCATTTCTTACTGAATGAGTCATTTCCTCCCTTTTATTAGGTTCTACTATTCTATTATTATTTTTTAAAGACATCAAACCTTTATTCAGTCAGTTGTCAAGACCTGTCATTGTCAACCTTTTAATTTTGTCTGGACTTCTATTTTTATTGTATTGCCATTGATTTCTTCAGGTTTGCTTTTATTTGTTTTTGTTTTTTGTTTTTTTGGTTTACATTACCAGAACCTTTAAAAACCCTTTTCTTTCAGGCTAGACACCATGTTGTGTTCAGGGTAATTTTTCAAACTCCAGATATGATAATATATTCATTATTTTAAATTTTGAATCAGTCTTTCTCTTCGGGATAAACTTCAAGTCCTGTAATATGGTTCCAACCACTACTTATGCTCTGAATGCTGCCTGTCTTTGAACTGTTTCCTTCCTTCCTGTACTCTATGGTTTGGCATTGCTGGACCTGTAATGCCCATCTCTCCCCTGCCTCTCCTTTGTTCTCCCTTCCTACCTCCCCCTCCTCCCTGCACCACTCATAGCCTTGCCTACCTGGTGGTAAACTACTACTCAGAAGTTCACTCAAAAATGACTTTTGCATGTTTGGTTTTCTTGTCCTCGCTCTCAGAAATAGTACTTTTTCCTACGTTCTTCACTCTGCTTTTTTTTCTATTACAACAATGAAAATGAGTGGCTTTTTATTTTTTTCAGAAGATTGTTTTCTTAAAAAACCTTTTAACCTCTAAGGCTTAGAAAAGAAATAGTATATACTATGACTTGCAAATAATTTTATTGAGAGTTCTCATGATTGTATTCCTTTTCTATGCATTGCCATGTTCCTGGGAGCTGAGTCAAACTGTTGGGGCTAGAAAGTCATCACAGCTATGCCCTCAGTTCAAGATCAAATGGAACTCAATATAAATAATCCAAATGCTTTTTGTGAATATGCCTCATGTCTGCTGCTCAGATGTGTCTATTTATGTAGTATGGTTATCTTGTCTCAAATAGGTAAATCTAAAAGATATATTGATCCGTAATGCAGAATTTCATATTCCGTCCTGTATGTTCTGGCCCATCCCCTTTTGTATTGGGGTGAAGGCTAAGTTGCTATACCAAAGAAACACATCTGAAATACAGTGGCTTTTAAGAACATATCAATTCTCACTGCCCATGTAATAATCTTGAAATTAGTGCTTCTGGTCCTTGACACAGCTATGCTCCTGGTGGTCATTCAGGAGCTCAGATTCTTTCTACCTTGTCTTTCCACTGTCACCTAATGACATGTTCGAAATAGGACACAAGCACCTCAGTGTTCTAGCCAATGGAAAGGGGGAGCATCTGTTTTGAGAGCCCCCAGCTAAATTAGGGTTTCAGTACCAGAACAACTGTCAACCCTGCCTTCAAGGGAAATAATGGGGTGCTGGACATACGTGGATGTTTCTGGTGTGTCTTTCACAGGATGCTTCTCTCACACGGTGGACAGCCTGATGCCCCTTTGTCCCACTTGTGACCAGGGGATCCCTTACGCAGACAACGTGTTAATACTGGCAGACACCCTTATGACTCTTGTCTGACCTGTGTTCAGTTTATGCTTGCCTGACATTTCTCTGGTGCTGGGAGTCGGACCTCATGTTTTCCCTGTTGTCTTGGAGAAAGCCCGGGTTGGGGCAACCCCTGGTTCTTCAAATGGAAGGAGAAAATTCCATATACTACTACAGTAGCAAAGAAGTTCAAAGACTTTTACTTAGAGATCCTGGGCAAGAAGGGAACAATGACTTTTGTAGAGTTGGGCAGAGTCAGTCAGGGGCAGAAGAGCATGAGGCATCTTGTAGTATATGTAAGGGACAAGAGCATGGGTCATTAAATTATCACTATGTAAAGGATAAAGCAGGAAAGCAGGGAGCCCAGTTTGTTAGGCAAGAGAGAAGTTATCTCTGTCCACTGGCTTGTGCCATTTGGGTGTGGCCTAAAACTGGAAATATGCCAGCAGCAATATCTTGCTGCTGATATAAGAAAGTTAAACTTCAGGCTGGGTGCAGTGGCTTGCATCTGTAACCTCAGCACTTTGGGAGGCCAAGTTGGGCAGATCACGAGGTCAGGAATTCAAGACCAACCTGACCAACATGGTGAAACCCAGTCTGTAATAAAAATACGAAATTAGCCAGGCGAGGTGGCAGGCACCTTTAATCCCAGCTACTCGGGAGGCTGATGCAGGAGATGGGAGGCAGTTGTTGCAGTGAGCCAAGATTGCACCATGGCACTCCAGCCTGGGCGACAGAGTGAGACTCTGTCTCAAAAAACAGTAAGTAAACAAAAGAAAGAAAGTTAAAATTCCATTCAAAATGAATGTCAAGGTTACATAAAATTATAAGAATTCACTACAGAATCCTAGGCCCAGAAATGGCGCATGTCACTCCTGCTTGAATTCATTTCAGGAGACCTTAGTTACACAGAAATACCTGCACAGGAGGCTTCAAAATATAGCTTGGCAGCTGTAGCACCATGACTGGTGAAGGAGTATGGATGATCCGCTAGCCACTGCCATCACACATCTCTATTCCAAGAACTGCATATTTGGCAAGAATAATTTGGGCCTTAATGTATTAAAAGGAACTCTAAAAAGATGGAAGCACAGAATGTATCATTGCCTTTATTTTAAAACTACCAGTTAGTTAGAACTTGTCAGAATAAAAACATTGCTTATTTAATGTATCTCAATATGCTTTGGTTGAATCACTTGAGTATAGTCAAAGGTTGAAGTACTGGTTTTCAGACCATATAACCATAAAAAATAAAGGTGTTTACTTTTAAATTTTTCATCTTCAATTACTCTGCAACTGTAAAAAGCTATCTTTGATAGAGTGGCAAATATTTCTCTAAAAGCAACTATTTCAGAGAGATTCTTTAGTCAGTTTTAGTGTGAATGAAGAGAATTACCAGATATAATTCTGTCGATTTTCATCACAGTTATATTAAAGGGTGGGCAAGGCTGTGAGCAAGAAAAAAATCTTAACAGGAACCACGAATCATGTACTGAGTTAGGTGTGTGGCTAGGGATTTTATTCTTTTTTTTTTTTTTGTGAAGCTGAGTTTTGCTCTGTCTCCCAGGCTGGAGTGTGCAGTAGCACAATGTTGGCTGACTGCAACTGCTACCTCCCCGGTTGAAGTGATTCTTTTGCCTCAGCCTCCCCAGTAGCTAGGATTATACGCAGCCACCACCACTCCCAGCTATTTTTTGTATTTTTAGTAGAGATGGGATTACACCATGTTGGCCAGGCTGGTCTTTAACCCATGACCATAGGTGATCCTCCTGCCTCTGCCTCCCAAAGTGCTGGGATTACAAATGTGAACCACCGCACCCAGCCACTAGGGATTTTATTCTACAGAATGAGTCAGAAAAATAGAAACAAGTTTGTAAATAGCAAGAATGGTTTCATCTCTTCTGACTGAATGAGACCCAAGTAGGGCAGAAGGACGAGCAATACAATATGTTAAATGAAATGAGGCAGTTTACAGTGAAAACTGATGGAGTGTATCTAGTGTCATAATTTGGATTGCTCAGTAAGGAACTAGTTTGGTGTCACCTCTGTAAAGATATATTAGCCAATGGATTGCATGGAAAATGCATTATCTTCTTTTCTTAAGAAATTGTTTTCAGAGTTGGTTTTGTGTTTATTCCCATTTTAAAATGTTTTCTATTTGTGGA